TTACTCCTTGTGAGATAAGATTAGAGAGTCCTAATTGATCTTCTTTTAGTGGTGCTGGCCGAAAAATCTAAGCCTATAAATAGGAGGCTTGGCCGAAATTTCAAAGCACCCTTGAGTGGTCATTTTTGTTGTCTCTTTTGAGAGTTTTTTTCCTGTGAGGAATTTTTGTTAAATAGAGTGTCCATTTTTCGTGTCAAGTATGATTTAACCAAGAGGGTTTTCATCTTGTCTTGGATCTTTTTGATCTTGCAGAAACCGTTCATTTTCAAGTATGCTTCTTGATAGAATTGTTTTAAAACAAAACTTCTTATTTTCATACTACTTCTAGTTCGATTGAAGAGCCTTTCTTTTGGCTTGGTGTTCGAATTTTCATGATGAGTGTGTTCATGAGTTCCATTGTGGGGTTTGTCCTACTTTTGTTGGATGAGTTGTGCTTTGGCATAAGCATTTTGAGATAGTGTATGTGTTGCATATCTTTGGTTGGTTATGAAGATTACTAATCAATAGTATTCCTTCATAGTTGAGCATTGTTTGCTCCTACCTTTCTTGAGTCTCTTGAATGATGACTGATCGAGTATATTGAATGGTGTCCTTACTATTCTTAGCGTGGGTTGTTGTTTAATTCAAATCTTTCATCGATAATGTGTTCTTTGCTTGGTTTGAGTTAAGGGATAGAATCACTTAGATAAACGATCGTCTTACTGTGAATTTTCCACACTCTTTTGAGTGTTACGGGATAGACAAATTATCTTTGTACTTTCTTGTTGATGGTTGCATTAACAAAATTTGCTTCGTCTACGAGATTGCTATCATTCCATGGCTAAGATGGCCTCGACTTTGGCTAGATCAACACTTATTCCATCCTTGGAGACTTGGTATCCTAGGATTTTTCCTGACCATACACAGAAGGTGCATTTTTTAGGATTCAGCTTCATGTTAATTTTGCGTAATATTGTGAAAATCTCCCGCATATCTGCAGCCACTTGCTCATCCTTATTGGTCTTTATCACCATGTCGTCCACGTAAATCTCGATGTTCTGGCCAATTTGGTCATGAAAGGTTATGTTTACGAGACGCTGGTACGTCGCTCCTGCATTTTTCAGTCCAAAGGGCATCTTGTCGTAGCAATATACCCCTATCTCGGTGATGTAAGCTGTCTTCTCTGCATCTTCCTGTGCCATGAGGATTTGATGATATCCCTTGTATGCGTCGAGGAAACTGAGGACTCTGTATCCGGCAATACCTTCTACCATCTGATCTATGACTGGTAGAGGGTAGCAGTCCTTGGGGCAGTGTTTGTTGAGGTCGGTGTAGTCTTGGCACATACGCCAAGAGTTATCGGGTTTTCGCACTAAGACTGGGTTGGCTAACCAAGTAGGCCATAGAACTTCTCGGAGTATGTTGGCGCGAACTAGCTTCATTGTTTCTTCATTGATGACGTCATTGCGTTCGCGAGCAAATACTCTTTTTTTTCTGCTGCACTGGTTTGACATTTGGGTCAACATTTAGCTTATGTTCCATGACCTCTCGAGGGACTCCTGTCATATCTGCTGGAGACCAGGCGAATATATCGCGGAAATCGCGTAGCAAGGCACTAACCTCGGCTAGCAATGGGTCTTGGAGAGAAACGCCAATTTGAGCGGTCTTGGTGGGATCAGTCTCGCTTAGGGTCAATTCTCGTGTCTTGCGGCTGAACGAGGGGAGGTTGGTTATCTCAGGATTTTCTGCCTCTGATGGGTTGACATTTTGTCGAATTGAGTAGCATTCTGACATGGCGGAGCCCGGGTTAAGGTGTGCGATCTTCTTTCCGATTCTAACTGCTGTGAGTAAGCACTCTCGAGAGCTCCGCTGGCATTCTTTTACTACTCCCACTCCATATTCTGTCGGGAATTTCATTACCAAGTGATAGGGAGACCATATTGCGCGTGCCTGGCACATCCAGGGTCGCCCCAGGATCACGTTGAACGGCGAGGGCGCATCTATTAGGGCGAAATCCATGGTTAAGGTGACCGTCCTAGGATGCGACCATACCGAGATGGGTAGGCTGATAATTCCTGTGGGGATAATAGTGTGGCCTGAGAATCCCATCAGGGGCATTGTAACTGGGCGGATGCAAGGGTTCTTGATATTCATTTTCTTGAAGCAATCACTATATATGATGTCGACCGCGCTGCCGTTATCCACGTAAACCCTTCCGAATTTTACGTTTGCGATTATTGCTTCTATGACCATAGCGTCACTGTGGGGACAAATGTCCGGGACAACATCGCTATATGTGAATACGATGGCCTCCGTTCCTTTGAACCTTTTGTGGCTAGGCTCCTGTCGAGGAGTTTTGGTGATGGTTCGTAATGAGTTCTTCATGGCTGTGGTGGATAAGAATTCGAGGGGAGCTCAGTAAATAGCTCCTACCTAGTGAGTGATTAGTTTCGTTAGATCCGTCGGGGGGAGTTGTTGGAGTGGCTGTGGTGCTGCTTCAGTGATGTGATAAGGTTGTTGTTGGGCATTAGCTCTCGGTTGCCAACTGTTTCCTCGGCCATCCCTCTGTGGCGGGCCTCTAAAGTTTTTTTTAGGGGGATCTCGTGACTGGGGTCTGTTATTCTTCTGTTGGGGGGCTGTTTCTTGCACATATTGCTGAAACTTCCCGGACTTGACCCCATTCTCGATTTCCCTTTTAAGCTCTCGGCAATCCTCCGTGTCATGGCCGTGATCTTTGTGATACTCACAATATTGTTATGTTGATCTGTTTGGGTTAGGCGCCAAGGGTTTCAGGGCTGGTAATTCGTCCCTATGGATCTGGAGGATTTCTCGTTGGAGCTTGGTCAAGGGTGTTAATTGCCTATCCATCTTGGGTGCCGGTTTGTTTTCCAGGGGGATTTTTGGCTTATCATTTGGTCCTACCGAGGCAAAGAATTCCTGGGACCTCTTGAGTGTGTGTTCTCGTTGTATGTGGTTCTCGACGATGGCCTACATCTCTTGAGCATTCCTGGGGGGCTTGGTCGAGAGTTTAACTCGCAACATTGAGGATTTCCTGAAGGGGTTAAGGCCTTGGATGAATCCATTGTGAACATTTCGATCATCAATGTTGTCGACCTGCAAGGTTTCTTGTATGAACCGTCTGTGGAAGTCGGTTAGACTCTCATGCTGCCCTTGTCTGACGGAGGAAAAGTCAATGGACATCCACGATATTCGTTTGCTCTAGAAGAATCGAGTAGCTAGCTTGACAGACAAATCTTCAAAACTAGTGATGCTCCCTTTTGGTAGTTGCCCAAACCATCGTTGTGCTGACCCGGTTAAGTAGGAAGGTAGTTCCTTGGCCATGAAATTCAAGGTTGCGTTCCAGATTCTCATGACTTGGACATATCCTTGTAGCCATTGGAAGACATCAGTATCTCCTGAATATGGTTTGAATTCTTTAGGGAAGTCAAAGTCTCGGGGCTTAGGTTCATCTCGAATGTCAGGGATGAAGGGGCTCCGGTCTAGCCCTATCCCGATGATCTTTCTCATTTCCTCCCGGATCAAGGTATTCTGGTCTCTTGTTCCTTGCTGATCTCCCTGGAAATATGGAGGATTTTCTCTATACCGATTATGTTGCTGATGTCTTGGAGGCGAATATTGAGGACAGTGATGGTATTCTTGGTCATAGCTGCCCTCGATATTGTTGTGGCCTTGGTGTGCTTCGTAGCCATGTCTGTACTCACCTCTTCGAGGACTTCTTCGATTCCAATTGAATTCTAAGCGATTATGTGCATTAGTTCGCCTTGGGGGGTTCCCCTGTTCTCCTTCGATGACCTCAACACTCGGGGGGTCGTGATTCTCTCGAGTGTCCCACATTGGTATATTGCGTCGAATTCCTCGAGAGCTGTATCAAAGGCTGGATATCTTTCTCTGAAAGTATTCCAGAATATGGTATCTCTGGTAGCATACGAGCGTTCCCCATGGGGGTTTTCGTACCCCTTGGTTTCTTGGTAATTTTCCTGCTCTTGGACTTTCCGCTTCCCCCATTTCTTCTCGAGAAGGGCTAGGGTTCTGCAAGCTTCTTTTTCGTCGATCAAATCCTCCAACTCTTGTTCTGTGGGGTCGGGTTGTCCAAGGAGACAACGCCGCCTGGTTTCTTCGAGAACATATCTCCGCATTCTCTATTGCTGATCGCTATCATCGCCTAGCTTCTTGAGTTCGGCCTCAATCTTGGCTAGTTTCTGATCTTCCAAACGCTTGGTGGCAGCAGGGGTATTCCGAGGAGGAGGTATATCCTCTTTTTCAGGTGGAAGATTGGTTTTGTTTTGTTTTTTTGGATCGGGCTGAGAAGCACCAAGAACCAAACGCTCTTTTGTTGGTTCTTTCCCAGGTTCTCCACCGTGGCTCTTTTCTGTCTTCCTCTTTTCTTGTCGGCGTTGGAATTCGGCTAGGGGGGTGTCGTCCCCTAGACTATGCTGGTGGCCGGAGGATGCTGTGCTACCGGCGTCTTCTTCAACTCTGACCATCGTATTGATTGTTCCGGCAACCCTAGTTTTTATTGAGAGATGTTAAGGAAACCTGAGAAGGTTTATGGGACACAAACCCTAGTTTTCGGGTCCCACTGGGCGTGCCACTTGACGATGCTTGGATACGTGCCGCCGGTTTAACGGTGGAACTCCGGCTAGGGTTTCCTGCAAAACAGGGCCTCGGGGTCTCCCGAGGGTAGACACTCCGATGCTTAAGTCAGTAAAAGGGTTGCTAGAAAGCTTAGGTGTGTAGTTTGTTTAGCTATAGATTGCATACCTGTACTGTGGTATGAGCTACACTATTTATAGGTATGAGAATACCTGGACAAATCCCGAATCCCATTAGGTTTCAGGAATCTCCACCGTCCTAGGAGTCCCGGTTGGACTCTTTCTTCAGTTGGTGGGCCGGTCCAGTCTCGGTGATGGATATGGACTCGTCAATTGGTGAATCACTTTGTTCAGGAGTTTGAGAGAAAGAACAAGAAGGATATCAGTGGAAACCTGCGCGCCCTGAGGATGTTGCGGACATCTTGCGAGAGGGCAAAGAGGACTCTTTCGTCCACGGCTCAGACAACCATTGAGATTGATTCACTCTTCGAAGGGATCGATTTCTATTCCACCATCACTCGGGCTAGGTTCGAGGAACTTAATATAGATTTGTTCCGAAATTGTTTGGATCCCGTGGAGAAGTGTTTGAGGGATGCTAAGATGGACCAGAGCTCCATTCACGACGTTGTTCTTGTTGGGGGTTCAACTAGAATCCCTAAAGTCCAACAACTCCTTCAGGACATTTTCAACGGGAAAGAGCTTTGCAAGAGCATCAACCAGGACGAGGCGGTCGCTTATGGTGCAGCTGTCCAAGCTGCTATCTTGGGTAATGTTGATAATGAGAAGTTGCAAGCCGCTTTCCCTCGGCCTCGAAACCGCGGGAGGCGTCATGACCGTTTTGATTAACAGGAATACCACCATTCCGACCAAGAAGGAGCAGGTTTTCTCGACCTACTCCGATAACCAACAGGGGGTGTTGATTCAGGTATTTGAGGGAGAGAGGGCGAGAACCCGAGGCAATAACTTGCTCGGTCAATTCGAGTTTTGGCGCATTCCTCCGGCTCCCAGGGGTGTTCCGCAGATTACACTGTGTTTTGATATCGACGCCAATGGTATTATGAATGTGTCTGCTCTGGACAAGACCACCGGGAAAAAGAACAAGATTACAATCAGTAATAACCAAGGAAGGTTGTCTAAGGTGGAAATTGAGAAGATGGTTGAAGAAGCTGCCAAGTACAAGTGGGAAGACGAAGAGCACAAGAAGAAGGTTGAGGCCAAGAATGCTTTGGAAAACTATGCCTACAACATGAGAAACACCGTCAAGGATGACAAGATCGGTGGCAAGCTCGATCGGGCCGACAAGAAGAAGATTGAGGTTGCTATTGAGTCCAGCATCCAGTGGCTGGAAGGCAACCAACTTGCTGAAACTGATGAGTTTGAGGAGAAAATGAAGGAGCTGGAAAGTGTTTGCAACCCCATCATTGCCAACATGTACCAAGGTGTTGGTGGTGGTTCATCCATGGATGCTGACGAAGCTCCTCCTTCTTCTCGTGGTTCAGGAGCTGGTCCCAAGATTGAGGAGGTCGACTAAAATTAGTTATTTTGTTCTCATTCTTTAGTGGAAGTATTTGAATTTATCTGTTATTGTTGCTTTTTAGTTTTCAAGAGTATTAAATAAATAAACCTAGTTTACATTTTAGCCTTACAAGCGTCCTTCATTATTTTTAACTAATAGATTATTGTCTTTTTTCCTAAGAAAATAATCCCTTAATGTGATTTATATCTCGTATTTTTCCTTACAAAACAATCAAGGACAAGTTTAGGAATGACAGAAGGTTAATATTCTTCATGTTGTCTTTGATTTCGATGTCTAAGGGAAAAGTTCAATACTTGGAATGTTATGATGATGCATATTACATATGTACCAGTCGTTGAAAAGAAGTTTGATGAGAATATTAAAATCACCGGCCGGGTGGATGAAAATAAGAACTAGAGAAGATTATGTAATTAGATCTAATCTTCGACATGAATTTCATTGTTCTATGCCCAGATGCAAGTTGGAGGGATTGTGTTACCTTATCGGTTAGAAAATGGAAATAATCATGAATTTCATCACCGAAGAGGACTACCTGATTGACGGAGCAATTTATCTTCTGGAAATGGCTCATAATCTATCAATATACTCCCTCATTATCATTTTTTACTAATTGAACTAAAAGCGAAAATTAAATTAAATCATAATTTCATGAGAGAGTATGTAACTAAGGCAAAACCCAAAAATAGAATGCAAATTGTTTAAATATTCAGGTCACCTTCTTTTTTAAATTAGTGCCGCGAAGTTAAATGCTCTTCTCTAATTCAGGGTTATGACTTATGAGTTGAAATTTGATCCGGGACATTGTATTGATGCAACCTTTTTTTTTTATCATTTATTGTATTTCTTTTTATTACTTTCCATTAGGATAAAAATATTTTATATGATCTTTATAGATATATTTATTTATTTTAAACTTTATTGAACAAATTATTCTTTGTATATTTCTAACTCGTGATTGTATTTATATAAATAAATAATTTTTAATAATTTAGTTTAATAGGAACGATAATATTTTTCAGTTAATTTTAAATTTATAAGGTAGGTTTGACGACGGAGACAAACTTTTCGGTAGAAACACCAATATTTCCTTTCTTTATTCTCTGAAAACAGAACTCAACGTTAATAAATATTTCCATGAGTTGGTGTCCTCTATTACTGGCATTGTTACCCGTCGGCGTATTCGATTTGTATCGGCAGAGATTTACGGATTTTTTTAAAAAAAATTCATTCACTACCTTCATTTCATAATTATTATACAGTTTGTATTTACACTTTTACGATTTTAATGTACTAGCTAATTTTGGTATCACACAATGAATGGTTTAGTTGATGTTCTGCCCATTATCATATACTATCTTTAACCAAATAAATAATAGTAGTAACAGACAAAAAAAAATATCTCAATGAAGAGATTAAATAATCTAGTTAGTCAATTCCTTAAGTGCAAATGTGGTAGTACAGTTTGGACTTCTTCATATTATAAGGATGTGAAGCATTATATACTACTATTCGCATGAGCATACCACCAAACAAGTATACAGTACAAGTATACTGTACACCACCAAACAAAGCACATATACGTTTGTTAAGTAAATAAACTCTCATTTTGATAAATCCAACTAAGATATGAAAGAAATAAGGAGTTTTCCCGTTAATTTGTAACAAAAAATCAATTCCATAAACCTTCCATTAAAAATTTTCGCCCAAACACGATTTGTTGAGTTTGAGGTTCAACCAAAAACAACAACAAATTCGATTACAATTAGTAATGCATCGAAACAAGAAGGAAAAATATGTAATTAAATTAATAATTACATTTGTCATACTTATTTAATAATTGTACGTAAATTTGAATAATGCTATTACACATGTCAGGCACCAAAGCGCATCTGGTAAGAGTGGTGTTTTTTAAAAGTAACATGTAGCTTCCTTTATATTTTACTGGTAGCTTTGTCACTCCCTTATTACGCAATTCTTCATATATAAATTTGCTTATTTATTCGATAGTGTATTATTATATATAAAAGGCGTTAATTATATGAAGTGATACAATTACGTAAGATCCAGTACCATAGGACAACGAAAGGAATAAATGGAGTTAAAGCAATAAAAACAGACACAAAACAGAGAAGCAATTGGACTGTTGAATTCTTAAATTTTACAAAAGTATTGTTGTTACCAGATCAACATCCCGGGGAAAAAAGAACGAAAAAAATTTTAATCCCTAAGGTTTCCATAATTTCATGGTGCAATCTTCACCATAAGTGGCCACAAGATTCCTGTGGGGATGGTGTGTAATCCCTATCACATCTTTCTCATGCACCTACATGGGAAAAAAAAAATAAGTAAAAAACTAGCCATCAATGACAAACAGAAGTAAAAAATGCGGTGGTTGCAAAATAAAGAGAAAGCAGCTAAATATTTACTCCCCGGATTGTAAGTACAAGTACTACAACAATCAGGACATGCAATACAGTTGAAAACCGTAAAATGAATGGCTTACCTTCATCAAATGCTCTAATTTGCCCGATTGATAGCTGAAGCAGTACAAATTCCTGCATATAATAACAGAAGTGTGATTAATTAGAAAGATCTAGGTCGAACTACGGGTGTAATGCAAATCGAGGTTGGTACATCAAACAAGAAACTAGGAAATATCAATTTCAAACAGTGTATATAGTATCCACTCATGAAGATAAGAAGGCCTCCATCAAAAGACAGAAGGAAATTATTAAAAGCTCACCTGTCTTCACCCACACAGTAAATCCATTCTCCTTTAGGTGACACACAAGCAGCCACAAAATCGCCACCTTCTCTTTTACCAGAGGAGAAGCTTTTTACAACCTGCAGAAATGCTCAAAGTATCAGAGAAACTTCTCAAACTGCAAACAACTATTACTAAGATCTGACTGAAGAGACTTAACCGTCCAGTATATTACGCTTGACACCCCATAACCATACTGATAATTTTATTTTATTTTTTCCAGATACTAAAAATACCAAAAAGAATGTGTATTCAACAACTAACGGTTTTTCCGACAATGAATGACCAAACTATTAACCACAAAAGTCAAGTTGCAAATCCCACGAAGAACACAGTATTTTGCTACAAAGTAACAAGAATTCACAGGGTACCTGTCCTTGTTGTGTCATGATATATATTGAAGAAGTTTTGTTACAAACCACAATATGGTCGGCATTCTTTGGGAAAAGATGGACTGAATTCACAGATGCATCACCCCCCTGAGAGAAAAATAACATTAGTCAGGTAAACTTATGAAATCACATGAATAAAAATGCGTACATTCCTCTAGAATGAAGTACTGGTATGTCTCATGAATTAAGTTAAACATCATCCATTTTAGCAATACAAATTAGAATTAATTACTGGAATGTCTCATGTAAGCTAATTCCCCTTAACAGAAAGATACCCTTAAAGGGGGTGGCGGCTTAAAAGTCTGCAGGCAGTCCGTACTCTTAACATCCCACACCTGCAATTAACAAATGTCACCACAAGGTTACTCAAAAAAGAATAAAAAAAGAAAGTACATTTCAATCTTGTAAACAGCTACCTTGACTGTGCAATCACTGGATGCAGTGATAATGCGAGATCCATCGTTGGTAAAGATTGCATCATTCACGTACGATGTGTGACCACGGAATTCCTTCAACATTCTTCCAGACTTCAAACCATGAATTCTGCCTCAACATAGCACAAAATTAGGAAAAGATGACTTTGGAGTTCTAATTATGATTTAAAGATGCTATCTAGGATAAAAAATCATAATCACATTCTTTTTCTTTTTGAGCAATCACATTAGCAAATGGCAAAACACACAAGTTCAAACCTTGCAGTGCCATCGAAAGAAGTACTTAGTAGCTGAGTTCCATCACGAGAGAAAGAAAGGCTAGTTACACCCTGAGAATGTGCACGCTCAAGACGACGCAGGCACTGACCAGTCCTTATCCGCCAAACCTAACCATACAAACGGAAGTTAGACCAATGACAGAAATCTACAAAAGTAAAGCAGCTGTAATGAGAGCTTAAATAATCTACACTTTATCTTTCACAGTTAAATAGTCTACAAAAGAGAATTATAGACCAGCTTATTTCATGATTGTAATCAAATAGTCTACACTGGATTCCTCACATTTGACGATTGAAATTAAATAGTTTACACTATGTCCTCACAGTTACTACTGGTTACAGTAATTGTAAATTAACTTGCATGGAGCCTCAGGGTTGTTTAAAGGCCATACATTACTCCATAACACCAGAGAGAAAAGAAGTGAAAGAATGGTTTCATTTATAGTATGGTGTGTAGAAAAACAAAAGGGTGAGAAAATCAACTCAAATTTGAAGAGAGACATCTTTTCTCTTTGTTTTAGATTTTTCAATAACTAGTTAAAAAGTGAAAAAAAGAAATCAAAATGTACCTTAACTTTTCCATCTTGCGAACCAGAAGCGAGCATCTCAGAGTCTCTACTAAAATCAAGACATAGGACAGGATCATCATGCATCATAAAAGTTTCCTGAAAAGTTCAACCAGTCATTCACAACATGTTGGAAGCGCACACAAAAAAATTAGATTTTGCAACATGCATGTGAACTGCGGGTTAAAGGGTTTATAGATGTCGAGAGCAGTTACATTATGCCTCAACTCAAAAAGACTGAGTGACCAATACCAAAAATTGTAATTCATCATAAAGTTGTAACCAGATGAGTCATCAAATGACCAATCCTTAAGTGAAACAGCAATGCCAATTATGGAGATATCTACAAGTGCACCTATTGATAAATAGCACACATCAGTTAACAACCAGGCTAGGCCAGATCCTTCAGTCAAGACAGAACAAAACCTTTCAGTTAAATTTTTACTTAAGAAAAGGGATTTCCCTATTTTTATTTATTTGTAGCGAAGAAAATGAAACACCGAAAGTTTTATTCTTTTTTTACCTTTACTGATCAATAAAAAGCAGAAGTGATGTGAAACAGAAAATGACTAAATACCGTTTACAAATCTAAACAAAACTAGGCATTCCAAGGAAAAACTTACATCAGCCTGGTACTGGAGATCCTTCTTCAATTTCCCACTTATGTAGTCCCAAACCTGAAGTTCACAAAATCCTTAAACCATTCTAGGCCTTGAAGATCTAAAACCAAAAGAACATTATATGATAATACCTCAATAAATCCATCAACTGAGCAGGAAACAAGAAATTGTCCATCTGGTGAGAACCGAGAGCATTCAGGATGACTTTTCTTCCCAAACTGCAGAAGAAGACAAGCAGAACATCATAATACAATCTCAATTGTAAACATCAGAGGCAAAAAAGATCTCAAGCTAAAGATGGTAAACTAGGAAAAAAAAACATTTACAAAATGTAACAGCAACAACAAAAGACTTTGGATAAATTTGATGTGATAGAATAGTCCAGGAGGACTGAACAGTCAATGATGTAAATGTCACAAATTGGTCGAGATTACCTCCGTCCCAAAATGATTGCCCTATTCCGATTTTCACTTCTATTCAATTTGTGCTAAAGATAAAAATCCAAACTAGACAATCATTTCAGGACGGAGGGAGTATAATTTACTTTTCACCCAAGAAAAAAAAACAATAGATTTTGAGACCAGACATTAAAACTTGACTGAATGGCTTAATTGTGTGGCATATGCCAGTTTCTGTTTCCCAGGGGACTAGATGAAAGTAGTTATCAAAAACCATAGTACATAGCAATTTATGGTGAAACTCACTCCTTTCTTTGGATTATGAAAAAACAGTAAATAGAAATAATAAAAACTGCAGAAAATAAGAAAGAATGAGGAAAAGAAGAGGTAACATTTGGTTGTAGATTTCCTCCTCAGGAGAAGCGAAAATCGAGTGAAACTATTAAATTGGGAGTAGCTTGTACTACAACTCCCCTCATACATCTCCAGAAAATTTTTCATTCTCCTTAGACATGTCACCCATACACAGAAGGGGACAAAAGAGGACCGGTGACACCTTTTTTAAACAAAAATTCTTTACATTAGATTCCACTTACAAAATAAAACATTGGTACTGACCCAAATGCTTATTCTCAAACAACTTATGCTTACGATCTGTGGTTTAATACTCTCTTGATCCATACAGTAAACACCTTTTCTACCTAGATTATCATTAACTTTCTTAACTATTTTAAAAAGGATACAACCATAAATTAATTCCAAGCACAAAAGTCAAATAGTTGGAAACAATAGTTGTCCTAAAACCCAAAAGTACCTTGATGGTATGTCCAAGGGTTGTAGGATACATATCTTCATCATCTTGTTTCATAGCAGCTGTTCCTCTGAATAGATCAAATTGCGTTCCAGGTGGGAGCAATCCTAAAAAGACAAAAACGAACACAAACAAACATGATAAAACTACGAAGGACAATCTTGTAACAGTATAAGCACCATAATATTGGAACCAAAATATGCAATAAACAAGATCTACATTGGGTCTATCTAACTTGACCAAATGATAACAGATTTCTTGAACCGTACATTCATACCAAATGTTAAACAAAGCACAGGAAAATAGTTGACTTTCATTTTGTGAATATCCTCTTTTATTTGTTTTCAAAACAATATAGAGGAAACAGCCAGGCCAAAAGAAATGGTTCACATAATAACAGAGTGGTCACAGATACAGAACGCCATCTAACCTTGATGCTGCTGCCACTTCAAAGCCTGACCAATCAGAGCGGTCAACCGTGAGGGTGGAACAACTGAGACTTCGCTGGAAAGAGCTGGAAAATCACAGGAATTTCAATAAAATTTTTTATTACGCAAATTTATCGGCTGAGGAGGTTGAGAATCACAATATATCAACTCAAAGGCATGAAAGACTTTTCTCTGTCCAGTGTCTAAAATCCACTAAAGTAATTTGCATATAAGCATTTCAAAATTGTACTAGTTGATTTCTAAAATTACACATATGAGGCATTTCGAGAATTTATAATTAACCAAAGGTTTTCAGTTACCAATATTCTCTAGTACGACTTCTCTAGTTTTATGATTTCAGCCAGGTCAGCTCAAGTTTACTGTTCAACAACAGAGTTATTGTAACACCATCTTGTGTGATGACATATTATAGTGATTATTGTCCACTTCTAGAGGTAATTAAGATTTTACGACATTGCCTCTGACATATCTACAACTGTTTTCCCATCAAAGTACACTACTAATGCAAATTACAAACATATAGTATGACTTAACAGATTTGCGGTATCAATTCCTTAATTTAATCCCCTGAAACATAAAGGATAGATAGGAAACCTTGGGAAATCATGGCACGCCTCTTCTCCTTAGTTGAATCTTGATAAGCCTACAGGTGAAGGAGAGCACCAGTTCAGAAAACATCACAAAAGGAACCGGAAAACTACAATGCACTTAAAAGGATGATAAGACTCCTAAAACAACTATGGAACACAGGAAACCAACAAGAGAAATGTATTTTAGAGGCAGTAATCAAAGAAATTCAATGAACACCAGAAACAATGAAGACGGGTCTACAGCCCATAAAAGAGACAAAGCCAAAAAAAATAGTTGAAGGAAGTGTTGCAAAAATTTTCATCTTGACGGTAAAAGAGCCAAAAATGAACAGTATCATATGAAAATGGAATGCTGCCAAGAACATATGAACTACTCTGGGGAACACCAAATACAAGATTCAAAAGTAAGGTAGCGAATTCTTAAAGAAACTAGTTGAAACAGGAAAATCAACCTCATTGGGGTCAAAATATGTCCGAACAAGTAGATGCTCCAGTCTCAAGTATCTTTCTGGTTGCTCTTGCTTCATAAAACCCATGACTTGGGTTTGACGTAGAATAGCACGTGCTGTATCCATTTCCCGAAGTTCAATCATTTCCAATACGATCTGTGAAAGACCAAGAAGAATTAACAAGCATGACAACAAAACACCACTAGAACTGGAAAAAGCAATAACCACATTTTTATTAATTTGTGTGAATCATAAAGTTTAAAACTAAACAAAAAAGTATGAAACAGTATTTAAACAGACAGAAGTTGGCATACCTGTTCATACAAATCTTCCAGTATTTTTCTTGGTAGCTTCAGTTGTGAGACTTGTGGTAACACAGCATCCCACCTTCCACTATTAATATCAGCAATAAACGTTTCGAGGCTATCTACCGTATTAAGAGAAACCTGACACTCATTTTGTAGAGTTTGAAAAGTTTGATGCAAGGAATTCTCTTTGCAAAATTGAAGTACTATCTTGACCACACTGCAAAATAGAAAACCAAAAGAATTAGATTCCCAGTTCTTGCTTAAACTGTCTCAATTTGAACATGAATGTAAATTACAAAAACCATCCAAATCAATAAGAATTACACTTCACTTTAGAACGGAAACAAATCAAACCAATTTATCATTGGAGATTCTTTAAAAAAAAAGAAGAAAGAAAGACTTCCTCCAGCACAGCATATAAAATCTTCGGACACCAGAACAAGACATCAAAAGACATCATAAGACATGGATGAAACTCAAGTACCTTCAGGAGCATTCCTAAACAACTAAGAATCAGAGGAAAAAAAATAAAAGTACTTCGGGAACCCTCAAACAACCTTACTAGTGAACGAAAGTGAGAATTCCAGCTCAACAAAGAAAATTTTCGACCTAATCAAAATCAATAGTAACTTCTACAATAATTTTACATTAGGGTTTTACTTTAATTATCTCCACAGCCAAAATTATAACCTCGAAATTCATTCAACAAAACAGAAACAATGCGGATTCCAAATTAAGCAAATGCGAGGAGGGAGAAAAGAAGACAGAGCTTACTCCCGAGCATCGATTTCAAGGGTGGAAGCCATGGATGAGAAAATCGGACAAGAATTTTTTCAGCTTTGAGAAAGAAATATTTTTTCACAAAGATTTCAGGGAAGAATTAAAACCCTGCCTAAATCTCCTCCCTCCCTCCACTCCAACTTCGCCTCTATATATCTTTACAGCTGCTCACGTAAGGGGTGGACTAGGGAAACGTCAGGGGTCATTTTATGAAGATGTAAGAAGTTTAGGGGTTAGCTGTAATTAAGGCGATTGAGTTCTTTTCTAAGAAATTATTACTGTTGTTATTTTTATTTTTAAATTTTCCTTTATCTTAAAAAAAACTAAAAATAATACATAAAATAAAAGAATTTCTTTTTTCCTTTTGCAATTGCTCGTCTTTTGGTTTTTCTTTTTTCTTTCTTTCTTTCTTTTTTGAATTCACTACATTCGTACGTATGATCCATTCTATTTCAATGAAATGTTCCGGATTGGTTTTGATTTAGTTTGGATCGGTTTCATTAAAATGCACAGCCATAATTACATATGTCACTGAATTTGGTTTAGAAAATTACCCAACTTTTGGCATAATAAACTTGAAAGTACATGTATTTTCACTTATAATAGAAAAAATCTTAAGCATCACTAAGCAAAACTTTAAATTTTGACACTGTTGATCCAAACATTATGGTATCCAATACACAAACTCAATGTAAATTCCTTTTTTGGAATATGAAGAGTATAATAAAATTACACATGGCATATTGTTGGTCCAAACTCATTAATCTATGCACTTGAGTTGGTATTTGCCATCATTCTTTAAAACGAGAGGTTTGTTCTATTGATACTAATTTTGTTGATACATCTACATTAGAATAGACGTCTAGATATACATGTACGATTGTGTATGAGCCTTTGAATAATATCCTCTACATCTGAGAACATCTTTGTTTCTTCATGCGTGGTTCTAAACTGTGAAAGTTTGTTTCAAATTATATCATCAAGATTTACTTTTGTTTCATCTATAATTCGCCAAGACAACCAACGATACCAAAGATATTTTGATTTAAGAATGAATCGAATAGAATATCCAAAATATTGTAGACAAGAAAATGGAAGAAGTGTTGTAGGGACGAAATCTTAATAGAACGTGTCAATTAAATCCCCACATTTTGATGAAAATGCATTGATATGTTCCAAAGGACCACGAACTCAGTATCCAAGTTGAGATACACCAAATCTTGAACAAGGATTACTGCACAGTTTGCAAGAAACCAAATTCAAACTTATACACAAAATTAATTATATAGGATTAACACAAAAGAACTTCACTCGTTTTTGTCAAACCATCATCAAAATTCATGAAAAAGTCTAATTTAAATATTGGCTGAACACCCCTATTTATAGTAAAGGGTGACCAAAATTCTCCTAATAATTAGGAGATGAATTTGATCTCTAACTCTTTTCATACCTTTAATGAATTAGTTATCAAATTGAACTTCAATTGACAATTCGTGACTTATGTATTAAGACAATGTATCTAGACACCTTTATAGATTTAAAATACATTAATATAATGAAAGTAAAACTCCTAATACAATTAAATGTTCTCTAAAAGAATCTTATCTTTATCTTTAGAAAAATCTGTCTGAGTTTTAATATAAAAATCTTTGTAGATTAGTCATATCTATCAAATAACGTAACCTTTATCCAACGGTTGAGAATAGACATTAAGGAATACAAACTCAAAAATTGATTAAAAAAAATCAAATAAAAACTCTTATCCTTTAATGAATGTATTAAAATTTAAATGATCTTATCCCTAAGATAGAAATTAGGAGATGCTATCAATATAATCATCTAGATCCTGAAATAAAGGAGATAAATACGAAAAATCCAAATCTTTATCAAAATAGGAAACTGGCGTCAACTTTCTCGTCGGGCTTCTCAAGTCGACGAACAGCTGATAAACCTCTTTTTGCTCAAATCCCTTTAATTTTGGTTCAATCTTCTATCATCTTTAATACCCACATTAAAAATATTAAATCTAACCATTATATGATCGAAATTAACATAATGATCACCATGGTTTACAATAATTATTAAGGGTCCATCCACGATTATATCACAATGTTTTCTTTTGGCGCATGTTCACAATAGATATATTATAAATTTATATCTAAGCAGCTTCTTTTTCGAATATATATCAACTAAAATTCTAACATGACAATGAAAATATGTTTGAATACTAGTACATTAAATTAAATTGATCAGTAAATTTAATCAAAACTATCCTGCCATTAAGTCATTATTCACCTACAAAATATGTATTTCCTATTTGGTTTAAAAAATATTTAGTCTAAGTTTTCTAGTAGAACTGTGGATGCTTTTTCATTTCCTGCATCAGAATTCGAGATGTGGTCTTCAACTTTGTTGATCTAGCTTCTTCTTTCTCACATATACACTCAACCTCTCCCTCACATATATTCTCTCTGTTGAATACATTTTTGTTTCTGCTACAACAACTTAAGCTAGTAATGGACTCCATTAAGGGATATTGTTAAAATGAATTAATCCTTTTATTAGAGATCCTCAAGAAATTTCAAGTTCGATATTTTCTTTTTTTATTGTCATAACTTTCTCTTATTTTTTGTGATTCTTACATTGGTTCACCGCTTTCTTAGTAGGCCTCGAGATTCTGCAATCAATTCGTTCAATAATATTTCTTACTCATCGAACAAGAAATATGTGCAGGCTTAACATCCTCAACTCAAGGGCATGCGTTAAAAATTATGTGCGTTAGTACTGCAGTATTTCTTTTGTCTTGTTATTTTTCTTTCCAACTTTCTAGTCAATGAGATAATTTACCCGAGTCTCTTATTATATTTTTTGTCATTTCAGGCAGAATCAGGTATGTTAGCAGAGCTTTTGTGGGACGTCTCCACAACTTCTATCTCTTATGCAAATAATGGATCTTTATGCAACAATATACCAAAAATTCTTAATGACGCCGTTCTAATGCATATGCCAGCAACTAATGTAAAAGTACAATACTAATGTAATTCTTTTCGATCTTTTCTTATGCATTTATCTTATTTCTGGTCTTTTCAATCCATCATTACCACATCTCATTACTACAACACTATGGAATAAATTTGAATTTAATTCAAATCGTAGATGACGCGTGCATGGATCTAAACAATTGGAGTTGTCTTGGTTCGCTTTTCTCAAACTAGCTAATACGGCTACAATTGTTGCATCAAGATTATGACATGAAACAATATGTCATCATTTAGCTCATACTTCTTTTATTCCAAAATTATTGTCCAGTTTCGGTTTTTATTTTCAGTACAAGTTATCTAAAAGAGAAATTCTAACCTAGACAATCATTTTTGAATAGAGGAAGTATAAAATTATCCTTTTTTTTCCAACAAATGATATATCTCCATAAACGACACATCTTATTCCAATCTCCCAGATTCTCCAAAAATTGGCCATCAGTATTGAAAATGTATTACCACAGCCTTGGAGTTTGCCGATATGAAAGTTTAATCCTCTTGTTTTCTAGCCGTTAGGACTCGAACATGAAATAACTCTTCTAATATTCAACTTTTGTTTTTGCTTGAGACTCATGAACACACGAAGGATTAGTAACATAATCACAAAATTATTCAATTGAAATTAAATTGCACACCATTATAAAGGAATTTGGCAATACCATAACAAATGATGTAAAAGTATTTAGAAAGTTACCAATGCAGAATCATGCACACAAAAAATGCATTCATTCTTTTTCTTTTTCCTTTTTTGCTTTTTTTTTTCAATGCCTATATAATCACAAAGGATTAGTAACATAATTACAAAATTATTAAATTGAAATTAAATTGCACACAAGTATAAAGGAATTTGGCAATACCATTACAATAGATGTAGAAGCATCTAAAAAGTTACCAATCGAGAATCATGCATACAAAAAAATGCATTCATTTTTTTTTCCTTTTTTTCCTTTTTTTTCAATGCCTATATATGTCACTAAATCTAAAAATTTGCAAGTGTTAGTTTGGATTTTATTTTGGTTGTGAGATTTTATAGTTTGCTAATAATTTTGTGGAGTTCATCAAATAATTGCTTTATTGTAGTTTGTGGAGTAGTCATTTTTTTCATAAATGTTGTTATTAGTCAATTTTAATGGTAATTAAAAATAATTTTTTCAAAAAAAATAAATATTATAAGCAATATGGGTCTTATTATGAAGATCTCAAAAAAAATCTATAATATGGTATACTTTCATAATATAATTTTTTTTAAGTCTAAAAATATATCAAATCATATTTTTTTATCAAAATAAAAAAAGTAGTGCACAATGATAGTTCAATTGGCAGTTTACACCAAATTTGATGTAACTTTATTCATTACACTAAAATAGTGCACTAATTTGATGATTTCCTTAGGGTATAATTTTACACCAAAACACAAAATATATTGTTTTGGTGTCTTCGTTGGAGATGCTCTACGAAATGAATTAAGTCCAAGTTAGTCTGCTTTTCATAGTATTAGGATGATTAGCAGTTTGGAGAAGAAGTAAATCCTTTCCTAAATAATAGACAATTCAGCCCAAAAAAACTTTCGGAAATCCGTTCACACTACCCTTCTACTTGAAAAGGAAGTTAAGTAACTGATCATCTTCTTTGCATGAATCTGACTACCACGTGAGGAACTTTTCCAATCCAAGCCTAACTCCAACTTCTTCGATCATATCAGCTAATATATAATATTGTGTCTAACTCAATTATCAACGATGTTAATCTAATGTAAAATCCAAACAAAGTGTGAATTTCGATCAATCCCAAACCAAGTAAGAATAGAATTAAACCATAAAATAGTCTCCTAATCATACTCACTCCATTTTAAAATATAAGTCGTTTTAGATTTGAAGTAATATGTCAAAATATAAGTTGTTTTAGAAATTTAAGGCAAATTAACCGCTAATTTTCCAAGTTTGCCCTCAATAAATGATGCCAACTATTTTTCATTTAGTCTTGTTTATAATTTCAATAATTAATGAGGGGTAAAATAGATATTTGACACACAAATTAATTGTAGAATGATTGTCTCCTTAGTTTACGTGCAAAGTCTTAAGTGACTTACATTTTGAAATGGAGGGAGTACCAAATAAACTAATTCAGATTGGGATTCCTTGTCCGCTTAATAATTCTTCTCCAAATAAACTATCAATATAAGGAATATACGCCTTGTCGGTAAATCTTTTTTGAGATCCAATAAT